AGTCGAACTATTAATGAAGTTGATGAAAATTATAGAAGGTTAGATATGCAAGTAGAAACAAAAAACATTACTTAGTAAACAATTTATTTCCATCTGTCTAGACAATGTTATTCCATATACTCCTATATCATATATGCTAGTGAAAGGTAAGTAACAAACATTTGATAAAAATATTTGAGTGCACACAAAAATCAAATTGATCCAGAAAGAAAGAAAGGAAAAAACAGAAAAACAAAAAGAAAAGGTAGTTGGAGTGCTAGCTATCTTTTCCGTGGTGTCCAAGTATGTTATCCCATTTAGTCCATTCACCTTAGTTGACTCCTTTTCACAAATCCACTACACCAACAAAAATAAAATGTCATTATCAAGCGAAATGTGTTAAACTATTTGCCAAGAGCTTCACAGTTGTTGTGAGCTAAAGAACCACTTGATCCAAGTTGTAGCTGCTCTAAACACCAACCAACGCCACAAAATCAAAAGATAAATACATGGAGTTGTATGGAGAAGATCCTTTTCTCGGTTTCCAAAATAGCATCCACAGAAATGATCCACTAATTTCATCTTCTACTAATAGTAATAGTAATACTTCATCATCATCAATGGCAGCTTTGGGGTTGGCCATGTTGTTGCAAAATCCGCACCAGCGTGATGCAGATGTGGCAAGGGAAGCATTAGAGGAGAATGAGGTCAATTACAGAGCTTTAATGGAGATATTTACCTGTAGAAAATCTAGCCATGTTACTCTGATTCGACAAGCTTATTTGACAAAGTTTAGAAGACATTTGGACAATGACATTTCCTCCATTGAACCTCCTCATCCTTGTCAAAAAGTAAGAAAAACAATTCCCTCTTTTCTTTTGGCTTATCAGACATTATACTAGAAGATAGGGGCTTATCAAGAGATTCCACTCGATCCTTCTTCTTTTTGTTCCTTTTTGTTTTTAACCTTTTTATGTTTCTTTTCGATGTTTTTTTGGGTGCCATTTCTGATGCTCATTTCAATATCTCAGAAGAGGAAAAAAAACAAAAACAAAATCGCCCACCTCTTTTCTTCTTCTGATTTGCTTGGAACATTCAGGTTTTGCTCCGTGTATGGTGAAAATTTGTTTTCATAGCCCCTTTTATTTCGTTCTTTTTTAATAACTTTTTGCAAAAAATTGTGACCAATTTATGATGATTTATTTTTTCCAGATTTTTGGTTCAGAAAAGTCATTTTTCATTCCTCTGGGAACATTTGTTTTTCTTCTTAAAATTATGATATTCTTTCTTTCTTTTTGCATCCATGTATGGATTGATTTGGTTGGTAGTAGTGTAGGGGACTACATTATCAGCAACACCCGAAGCACGCAAAGCTTTAGCTAACAGATTGCTCTGTATGCGATGCACAGTGGTTTATGATTATTATTCCAACCTCTTTAGCAACATCTTTTTTTGGAAATTTATAAAGAGACTTTTTTAACTTTAATCTTCTTTGGGTTCAAAAATTTATGATGATTTTTAATTATTGTATTTTTTTGGTAGATACTAATGGCATTATCAGCATCACACAAAGCACACAATGCTGATATTAGCCAACACATAGGCAAGTGTGATGCAAGGAGATTATACCAAACAGGGGAGGGAAGAACAGGTGTCACTGTTGATGAAGCTGTTGTCTTGGAGATTCTCAGTAAAAGAAGCATTCCACAGCTCAAACTCACCTTTTCTAGCTATAAACACATTTATGGCCATAGTTATGCTAAAGTAAGTCTCTTCTACTGCTTCCTTTTCCCAGACTTTTTACTATGCCAGCGTTTGACCATAGTTTCCCAAATTTATTTTAAAACTCTGATTTGGGTAAAGTTTGGTTTGAAGATGAAAATCTGTTTGGACATAATTTTTAAAAATATATTTCACTTTTTGTGTTTGTAGAAAAAACATGAAATGTGACTTATACTCATAAGTTCTAAAAACTATCAAAAATATTCAGCAATACCAAACAAACAAACTTGCTAATCCTGTATATGCAGAACCTTCATCGATGTCATTCATTATCATTATCACAAATCATAGTCCTGAAGATAGATAAGTTTGGCACAAAATTATCATTTTTATAATTAACTACATAGTACACTATCCTAAAACCATAACTTGATATTTTAATATCAACTGCTAATAACACAATTACTAGCTACTATAATTCGTCAAATTGTAATAATATTACAAGATCCATCAGTCCAAAGGAAAATGATAGTAATTAGTTGGGTCATAATAGATGATAGTTTTTTTATAAAATACAAAAGTTTGGGGTAACTTTTAAAATTGTTAAAAAATCAAACAGTAATATTTTGGGCAAAAATAGTTCTAGTGCTAGTTTTGGGATTTGAAAATTTTGTTTTCAAAATGTGTCAAAACATGGATAAAATCTATAAACAACCATGTTTTGCCAAATTTGTTTTGAAAAAAACTTAGCAAAATCTATAGCCAAACGAGAGCTATATTCTCTTTAATAGAAATCAAGACAAGAGACAACAACAACAACAACCCAGTAAAATTTCACAAGTGGGGTCTGGGGAGGGTAGAGTGTATGCATACCTTACCCCTACCCGGGGATAGAGATGCTGTTTCCGGAAGACCCTCGGCTCAAAAGAGAGACAATATATCAGTACTATCGACAGAAAACAGAAGTAATGACAGCAACATAAGAACCAGAGAGTAGGTGCAAAGCACTAACAGTAATAAGTAGATAAGGTCCGGCACAAAGAAAAACAAAAACCTGACAAGAGAGATAAATAAAAAGAGCTTAGCTTATATACAACCATGGTTTAAAGGATTAGGTCATTCAAAAAATATTTACATGTAACCATTCATAAAAAGTGAGATCTCTAATCTTGAATTAGAAGAACCAACAATGTTACTATTCCCTTAGTTTCCAAACAAAGTCAATAAATTTCTGTGTTTGGTTTAAAAAGAGAACAGGGGGACAACTTCAATAAGTGTTTTTGTTTTGGAGAAACAATATGTGGACCCTAGAGAGAGATATATTGATTTTCCATTTTGCATACCAAGCAAGAAATGGTCCAGGCAGTTTTCCTTTCCTTAGGTTGCATAAATAGGCAGGGATGAATAGATAATGAGTAAGTAGGTCTAAGAAGATAATGAGTTTTTGCAATTGTGTTTAATATGTAAACTTTAACAGTGGAAAGGAAGATTTCAAGAGTTTAAGTTCCTTTTCTTTTACTAATTTCACATTGTTAGTTTTAGTAATCATTTTGGGAATTCTGTTTTCTTTTTACTTGTCGATATTTCCTTGTTAACAAAGCTTTATTGTAGTATTTGAAATTTGGAAAATGTGGAGACTTGGAGGAAGCACTGGAAGCAGTAGTCAAATACATCTGCAGCCCCACAAAGTATTTTTCTCAGGTAGTTTTTCATTCATTCATATGCTTTGATGGAGTCACCTCCTATTTGTAGAAAAAACTATTTCCAACTTTATTCTGTTTAGCCCTTCATCAGTATCCAAAAGTTTAGACTAATGTGGGACCACTAAAGGGGATAAACACTTGTTTTTTAAAATAAAATATTTATGTTTAAGAGTGCAAGAATTTCAACCATGATTCCACACCCTTGATGAATGATGGCATCCTATTTTAACTCAGCAATGGGTATTAGTGCTCTCAACATTAATGTCTATTCTGCATGTAGTCGCAAATTTCTCAAATTCTTGGGACTCTTGTCTCTGACTTGACCACCTTGAATTTACCACTTATCATTCTATATAAAGTAAAAAATGAAAACAAAATGAGGAATGTCATTAACTAAACGAATGGAGTTGAGTATTGCACAGATGGTGTATGAATGCTTAAAGGGAACAACAAGGGATAAAGGAGCATTGATCAGAATAATGGTAAGTAGGGCAGAGGTTGACATGGAAGATATTCAAGTGGCCTTCGACAAGAAATATGGAGTTGATCTTAAAACTGCCATTTGTGAAAGTATTCCTCAAGGAGACTATAGAGAGTTTCTTGTAACATTGGCTACCAAAGCCTCCAATAGATCTAAGCCTGTTTCTCTTTAAACCTTTTTCTCCCTTAAACTTTTTTTGTATGTAGTAGAATATACGGAAAAGATTATGCAGTTAACCTATATGCAAAGAGGGCATACAGCTCATATTTTGGGTACAAATAGGTATCTTTTGGATTACTATCCTTACCGTAATCTCCCCTTTTCACTTGAAAATTTCGTTTGCCATATACCTTCTGTATACATGATGTTTTGACAAAGTAATCATAATATTATCTTAGTATGTACTTTGTGTTTGTGCTTTATTTTATGGGGAAGAAAATTAAACTTAATTGTATAAATTGCTTTGCGTACTTGATCGTGGATTAGGTCCTTTGAGTAATTCTCGTTTATCTCATGTTATTAGGTATGATTACAAGTACTCTATTCCTCTTAATCTTCTCTTTCAATATATAACTTGATCAACTCGTTACAGGTTATTATTATATTCTTACCAACAAAAGTATATGACACTCCGGTGGATACACCGGAGACTTGAAAATTAAAGACTGATCCAGTTTGCATTCTTTATCCACTTGAAATGAAAGCTATATAAATAAACTCTGATTCAGCTAAAAACTAAATAGAAAATGAGAACAGCAAAAATTACACAAACTCGTTCTTCAGATTTCTAATACTTTCTGTTGCCAGACAACTCTTACCAATTCATTTTCTTTTGGGTTTTCCCTCCATTTCATGACTCTCCTAAGGAGGTTTAATTGAAAGAAAGAGAAAACTAAGGAGACCATGCAGAAGAAATGGGACGAATGAAGCAATAACTTATGTTTTTGGATTAATAATAAGATAGTAGGAATCTATGGTCTTTGCACTAGTTTCATCATTTAACACGTACGTTCTCTATTTCAATTTCGTACGCCCTCGGATAGCAGATAACAATACTTTTAAGCTTTACTGAACATGATAATAAAAATAGGATTTCATACAAAAAGAGTTATGTATTCAACACAACTGCAGAATTTTATTGTGATAAAGTTCAAAAATAGAGATTTTCAGATACACATCAATCCAAGGATCATTCCAGATGATATTCAACCATGCATACACTGAATTTATTAGAGAAGATACACAATGAACATCTCTTCGCAACTCACAGTACAACTCAGGAAGCGCGCAGAAGGACTGGCAAGTTTCCTGGAGGATAACTTTTCGAAGCATGACCCCCATCACACAGCTGAGGTTAACCTTTACCCGGAGAATAACTCATATTAATCAACAAACTGCAGTGCAACTCAGATATACAAAAGAGTATGGAGAGCACATAATCTGAATTACCAGATCATTAAAATATGAAAACAACACTGTCATGGACTCTGGATTTCTGGTTCTGAGCCACACATTCAGATATCCACATTAAGTTCCTAATCTCCTGTTCTCTCAGCCTTACATATGCAAAAAATACACCATAGTGGAACTGCAATAAAGGAGTAGAGAGAATCAGTGAGGGAAGTACACAGATTATAATATTTCACTTTACATTCTTTACGATTTTTTCTTGTATAATTTGAGAACTGGGAGGACTAGGGGGTCGAAGCTGCTGTGTGATTAGGAATTCTAAGTTGTTTGAACAACTTTTTGAAAACGATTTGTGTAAAATACACGTGTTTGGATAGTTGCAAGTTTTTTCCCCCTGAAGATATGTGAGTTTTGCGGGAAGAACTTATTTGAAAAACACGCTAAAACCACATTTTTAAGACAGCTTGAAAAAGAAAAGAAGTTCTTGAGAAAACTTAAAGAACACACCATCAGAGAAAAAATAAAGAATAAACTTAAAAAAAAAAGTGAAATCCTTTTTGAAAAAAAAAAACAAATAACACATTGTAGATCCTTTTGCATGATTTCAGAAAATGTTTCACAAACAAGCAAGAAAATGTTCACGGAGATTCTACACAAATACAGTTAAGCAATTTCCACAGTATGAAAACCTGTTGTTCAAATGCCAGGCAAAGGCGTTTGACTTCCTCTTCATAAAAAGCCTTGTCAAGCATCTGGCTCTCCCCATAAGCCAACTTAGAGAATATGGATTGATAAGGAGGGTACTTCTCCATGACACCACGGACCTACAAGTACGAGGAAACATGGAGGATAAGCCTCAACTTCGGGTTTAGCCACTAAACTTGTAAGCATCAGAAAAATTATCAATTGCTTCCACCATAGTTCTGCAAAGAAAATCAATAATTCTCTCTTTGCTTCACTTATCTGTCATCTCAGTGCTGAATGATACTTCACCCTTTTCTTTTTCAAGAAGTATGGTAAGGAAGTAGAACTTCATGCAATAGAGAATAGACAGAATACTAGCACCCATCTAACAATATAGAAGCTCCATATACAAGAAGGTTCTAGAAAAATGAAGGAAAACAAAAGTTACACGTAAAATACCTGATCTATATCTTCGCAGATGGCAAGTTCCTCATGACCATATGGATAACTATTCAACACAAATAGTGTCAGAAAAAAAGAGGTCTCCAATGTCGCATATGACTCAAAAACGTAAAAGATTAAAGTGCATAAACTTACAGCAAGCCAAAATTAGAGTACAACTTCCTACGGTCATCACGTGTTAGTTCAGTGCCAATGCTGCATCAACAAATTCCAGTTGGTAGTTGAAAAATTATAACCTGATATACATTCAGTAGTATACCCAGATTCAGAGAAATCATGAACCCATGACATACCTGTTTATGGTGATGTTAACTGCTCTCCTGTCTGCCTCAAAAGCAAGTAAGTCAGACATGATCTCTGCAGTAGCACCACCTAGTTCCTATTGACAATATTCATATCAGACAAGAGTAACAGGACGTGTAATTTTAGTTTTGAGGAAAGGGATCAGTATCTAAAAGTATAAACATATGGTACAAAATTGTACAACAAATGATTACCTGGCAAAATCTGTAGAAATCTTCAAGGTACGCCTTATATAGAGTATTCCTCATAATCTCAATATTCATGTCATCCAAGTCCTGCATGAAATAAGTCCCATTGACAAAGGAAATATTTAAACATGGGCAAGGCAGAAGGCAAACTCGCAGGAGCAACTCATCCAAGACGATTGATTAACAAGACTGATAAGAGCAACTGATTCAAGACAGTTGATTAAGAAATAAAATACTCAACATATTCATAGCCCTTCTACTTGGAATGAACAAAAACTGACATATTCAGTATATCCTTAAAAGCTGCATGTAAATAATGAATACATAACAAGGACCCATTAAGTGGACAGAAGATACTGATTAACTACTTAAAAGCGCACCATCCTTCTACACTAGAACTGCATGCATAGAAAAGCTTCATACAGAAGGAAGCTAGAAGCATAAACAAAGATAAGAGGGAAGCATTTGATACCTCTGAAGTAATGCACTCAGAGAAGTATGGAGCCAAGGGTGTGTCAACAAGCACCAGCCTATAAAGCTCCCTCATATTCTGTGCAACTGCCAGGGAAGCAATACTGTGGAAATAAGTTAGGAAAGTTAATAGATGCTACTGATTAGTTTCAGCTATTTAACAGCCAGAGAGGTGTATTATGAACGCTACCTGTCAAACATGCCCAAAGGATGGCATTTCTCCAGCAATTCTTGAACATCTCTCTCATGTAAAGTTCCAGTCACAATTAAGACAACATTGTCAATCATGTGACCATATCTGAAACATATGAAGGAATAACACAACTTAGATTCAATCATATAGACCAGAAAGAGGTAAATAATAAGCTAGATGAACATGATTCCATAAGCCACATCAGGCTCACTCAATTAACCAGCAGCACACCCTTAACCACATGTAGGACAACAATTAGTTAGCAACAGAAACAATAAGCATAATAGAAAACCCCACATTAAGCCATGAGCTTGATCATTTAAGTAGTGCCTGTCTCTTTCTTTGGAGATAAGTTACGAAAATCAAAGATGATAGACTAGGAGAGCTGTTTAAGCTTGTTCCAATTAAAACTAGCATACCAAGGCTCAATTATTGCTCATGCTTTATCTAAAACTAGGAGCTCTCAAGTGCAACTCACAAGGTTTTTGTTTATATATTCATTTTCCATAGTGACTATTAGTTGCAGTCCAACTCACATGTTGGCACAAGAGAGAAAGTTTCGAACACATTTATGTACTAATATGGGATATAATATTCAATTAATCCCAATCGTTACTGGAAAGCATATGGCAACTTGGGAAGCATCCCCTATTGCAGATAGTGCAAGAAAAGGAAAAGGTTGTTTGTTGAACTGCTGCCCTTTTGTTAAATGGAAGGAAAAGTTAAATCATCTCAATCACACATTGTGAAGGCGAAGGTTTAAATCATTTCCATCACACATTGAAAAGGAAAAAGTTGTTGAACTGCTGCCCTTTTGTTAAATGGAAGGAAAAGTTAAATCATCTCCATCACACATTGTGAAGGCGAAGCTAGTTAATTATGATGCACAAAAAGTCAGAAGTTCGCTATGTGTATGGAGAGAAGGTGCAAGGGAGAAGAGCCGAACAGGTATACAAAGCTATCCCCTAACCTATTATGGCTATCCCTGTATATATGTTTACAAATGAATGGACGAGATATTGAAAGGTCATCCGGATAAAGTAGATGCAGCTTGGTCACTTTAACGCTAGGATATTTCGCAGTTCCATTTTTTGAGAGGCCAAATATGATCACCTAGCAACCATCTGGATCTTTTACTTCGTTAGCGACCTTATATATTCTTCCTCCATCCCAATTCATCTGCTATACTTTTAACTTTTTGGTTCTAACTTATTTATTTCAATTATAATTCTTTCAACTTCTACAAAAGAAATGCTCAAACACTTATCATCATTCTTTTCAAAAGTTTTCGTTAATTTCAACTCAAAAAATGATAACCTTGATTTCCAAAACCAACTATGCCATCACAAAATATAGGATAGATGTGGTAGTACAATTAATTTCCTACCGAGCAGCACCTTCCTCTCATCTTTTCTTCTTTTCTTTTGTAACATCTCCCACAAATAATATACCAATGGAGGGAGCAAGAAACAATGATAGGTTTCCGTAGAAAATGGAGGGTGCAAGAAACAAAGATAGGTTTTCGTAGCAAATGGAGGGTGCAAGAAACAAAGATAGGACATGTGGGACAAAAGACTATGGAAATGTATAGAAATTCTGCAGGGTACTTATTCCATCTCAAGCATGCTGGAAAACACTAATGAGAATTTCAGATTCTGTTTTACAGGGGTGTATGGTGGGCCACACACAAACTGGGAAAGAGAAGAGTTATGGAATGAACTAGGGGCTGTTAGAGGAATCTGGGATGAGCAATGGGTAATAAGAGGCGATTTCAATGTTTGTAGGTTTGAAAGAGAAAGGCATAATTGTCTGAGAAGATCAAGGGCCATGAGGGGGTTCTCAGATGTCATTCAAGATCTTTGCTTATTAGACTTACCATTGCAAAGAGCTCAATTCACATGGTCCAGAGGAGAGGAGAATATCCAAGCATCAAGAATAGATAGATTCCTTGTGTCATTAGAATGGAATGATACTTCTCAAAAAATTAGTCAAGTTGCCCTTCCCAAAGTCATCTCAAATCATTCTCCTATCATGTTGGAAAGTGGGGACTGGGATTCAAATCCATCCTACTTTAAATTTGAAAATATGTGGTTAAACACGGAAGGCTTTCAGGATAGGATCAAGTCATGGTGGCAGAGTTACGAAGTCAATGGCACTCCTGACTTTGTACAGGTGAATAAATTGAAGCTACTAAAAAAAGATCTCACAACTTGAAACAGAGAGGAATATGGCAGAACTGCAGCTAGGAGGGGAAGAGCCCTAGAAGAGCTTTTCTTTTTGCAACAACAAACTGAAGGCAGAACTCTTTCTCAAGAAGAAAAATCCAGCACGATGAGTCTTCAAATGGAAATTCAGCAGCTGGCCAAAGCAGAAAAAGTCTCTTGGAGGCAAAAATCAAAATGTTTGTGGCTCAAAACACCAAGTTCTTTCAGAAAGTTGCCAATTCCAACAGGAGAAATAATCTTATTGACAGACTCAAAATTGAAGATGATTTCATTGAAGACAAGGCTGTAATCTGAAGTGAGATTTTAGACTTCTATCCGAAGTTGTACACTGAAAATGAAAGATGGAGACCTTCAGCAAGGCTAGAAGATGTAGCAACTTTATCTAGAGAATAGAAAGAGTTGCTGGAAAGACCATTTGAAGAGGCAGAAGTTCTGGACATTATCAAAGCTTGTGCACCTGATAAAGCTCCAGGTCCTGATGGTTACACCATGGCATTTTACCAGAAATCATGGGCGGTAGTAAAGAATGATATCATGGGCGCACTTCATTATTTTCACCAGAATGGCAACTTAGTAAGGTCTTGTAATGCCTCGTTTATAGCTCTAATCCCTAAGAAGAAAGGAGCCACTGAATTGAGGGACTACAGACAAATCAACTTGATTGGCAGTGTTTATAAAATAGCCTCCAAGATCATAGCAGAGAGGTTGAAAGGGGTGATAGGGAAGCTAGTTTCAGGACATCAAAATGCTTTCATCAAATCAAGGCAGATTAATGATGCAGCTCTAATAGCCAATGAAATATTAGACTGGAAGATGAAGTCTGGGCAACCTGGTCTACTTTTCAAACTTGACATTGAAAAGACATTTGACCAACTCAATTGGGCGTACTTGATTAATATACTCAGGAAGATGGGATTTGGAGAACGCTGGATTAGATGGATTAAATTTTGTATTACCACGGTGAAGTACTCAATTCTAATCAATGGTGGACCTGTTGGGGTTTTCTCTCCCCAAAAAGGCATCAGACAGGGAGATCCACTGTCACCTTTTTTGTTCATTCAGTCATTCTTGCTATGGAAGGCCTAAGCAAAATGTTAGACAAGGCTAACCAGCTCCATTGGCTGGAGGGTTTTAAGGTGCGCAATGAAGAGGGCAATTCTGTGATAGTGTCGCATCTGCTATATGCAGACGACACTCTGATTTTTTGCAGAGCTGAAAAATCATAGGTTCTATATCTTAATCTCACGCTAATGATCTTTGAAGCTATTTCAGGCCTACACATTAGCATGCTGAAAGGCACCATCTATCCGATTAACACAGTCCCAAATCTGGATGAGCTTGCAGAGGTTATGTGTTGTAAAGTGGGATCTTTCCCTACATCATATCTGGGGCTCCCATTGGGAGATAGATACAAGTCTCAAGGCATCTGAAATGGAGTGATTGAAAAATTTAAAAGAAAACTGGCTTCCTGGAAAATGCAATACCTATCAGACTTACACTCATCAATAGTGTGCTAGATAGCATACCATCATATTTCATGTCCCAATCCCAGCTAAGGTACAAAGGAGACTTAATCAATTAAGAAGAGATTTTTTATGGGAAGGCAATAGTGACACTCACAAGTTCCATTTGGTTAAATGGCCAAGAGTTATTCTTCCTAAGAACCATGGATGGCTAGGGATAAAGGATCTTGCCTTGCATAACAGGAGTTTATTGATGAAATGACATTGGAGGTGCAACATGGAAAGTTCAGGGCTATGGAAAATAGTAATTTAAGCAAAGTATGGGGTGGCAAACAACTGGTGCACTAGGCAAGGGAGAGCTCCACATGGATCAGGCCCCTGGAAACACATTTCAAAGCTTTGGGGAGAATTCAAGCTCAAGTCATCACTAAAGCTAGGGAACGGGGCTCATATATCTTTCTGGAAAGATAAATGGCTAGGAACAGAGACCCTGAAAGATGAATTTCCAGCTTTATTTTTACTTGCTAGTAATAAAGATGCAACTATCTCACATGTTTGGCAAAATAGTGCTTGGGCTCCACATTTCGAAGGGATATCCAAGATTGGGAGTTGAATGATCTGTTGGGTTTGCTCAATAAATTATCAGGTGCTAATGTCAATTCCAAAGTACAGGATAGGTTAGAACGGGGTGAATCAAAAGAGAGAACCTATACTGTCAAAAGAGGATATGACAATCAATGCTCCAACAAGGAATTGATCAACAAATGGCCATGAAAGCTTATATGGAAAACCAAACTACCTACAAAAGTAGCTGGCTTTATGTGGACAACATTGTATGAAGCTTGTGTTACTCAAGACAATCTTAGCAGAAGGAGTATACCGACCGTGAATAGATGTTATATGTGCCAGATGGAATCTGAGAGTGTGAGGCATTTTTTTTTGCACTGTTCAGTAGCAGCTGATATTTGGAGTATGTTTTTATCAGTTTTTGGACTTGCCTGGGTTATGCCAAACAGTATCAAGGAAGCTTATGAGAGTTGGTGTTCTTGGAGAGTTGGGAAATCCATCAAAAAGACTTGGTCAATGGTACCTTGTGCTATTTTTTGGAGTATTTGGAATGAAAGGAACCGTAGATGTTTTGATGGGATCTCAACTCCCAACCACACTCTTAAAGCCACTTGTTTAATTAACTTATTTAGTTGGTTCAATCAGGCCCCTGTAACTAGTGTTGAACTATTTCTGGATTTTGTCTGCTCCTTAGTTGTCCTGTAAGTTTTTGTATATGAGCAGACAATACCTTTATGTTGTAATTTTTGCTATGCATCTTCTTGATGCCATTTAATGAAATTCCCTTACTTCATCAAAAAAAAGACATGTGGCCACACAAGGACACTAATGCCATATTATCTAGACATATGTGATTTTTAACCATCATGCACAGATAGCATAGACCCATAGTTCTGATTTCATAGTTTTGTAAAATGATTATCGTGCCTATGGGACAAATGGAAAGTGGAATTTAGAGTAAAATAAACCATCATTCCCAGCACACCAATAATAACATACCTGATGTACTCTAAAAAGGTCGACAAGGGCTCTGTGGCTTGGCAAAGCATATGGTTGTATTCATCGACAAGTTTGAGAGTGCACTTC